TATTACCTAGGATAAATTAATACATGAAGAAGTGGTTGCCTGTTCCATTTTTAAAACCAATTTGCTATTAGACAAATTAAAATTGGAAACAAAGTGTAAAAAATCATGAAACTATTCCAAACAAGCAAAGCAGACATATTTGACTCAAAATTATTATGATGGTTTTAAGTCAATTTTCCAAATGAACAGAAACAACCAAAAGAAAATACAAATTCCCAGCATAGTCCCAAGTTTCACAGAAAGCTCTGAGGTAAGGCCAAAAATCGATGATCAGAAATGCTTGAAGCACGAAGCGTTGTAAAAAAATGCAGCCGCTTTAGTGGGAAGCTAGGAAGGTACTTGTGTCATGTTTGGACATAGGAACCCCCACGTGCTTCTGACAGGCCTGATTGTCAATTTCAACTTGCCCTTTGCCCCACTGTCTCCCTTTCACATGGTGGGAAGAATTCCCCTCATGGTGGTACCCTGCAAGATGTGAGACGGTGGGACCAGGTCTTCTTCCCCTGCCTCACCATCGGAGTCTATTGCACTTTATGTGGGGTCCTTTCAGAAACGGGGACCCAGCCACAGCTGTCAAGAAACTGGAGAAACACACCTGGCCAGCTGGGAGTTTCCCGCTACTGCATACCTGTTGTTGGTGGGAAGGAAGGCAGAGATCAGTGGCTCTGCCAGCAACTTCAGTCACCAGGTTGGTGACTCCAGTGACCTAGTTTGGGAAAGCTTAAGGGGTCAGGAAAGCAAAGAGACCCTCTAGGAAAAGCTTCTGACTTCCTCTCCAGGGCTTTTGCAAATCAATTCTTCTAAGCTTGAAATTCCTGGGGGTGAAAAGGGAGAGTTGAGTCACCCAGGGTGATCCCACTCTTAGCCATGGGTTGCATGGGATGGTGGGATCTCCACTAGTTACAGCCTGAGCCTGGGACTGTTCAAAGCGTTTGGATCTCTTCCCCTCAGGGGATGGAAGCACAGGGCTGTGTTGGGGAAGAGCCTTGTCTTGGGTTCAGCAGCTTGGGTTTGAATAACCAGGAGGCCCATTTCTTCCACTGCTTAAAGAGAATTATATTCAAATCTCCTCAGAGGTGACACTTCCCAGTTTGATACGAGGTGTGTCTCTGAGGGAACCTTAAAAACCTGAAACATTACCCGATTCTAACTTGCTTTTTCATTTTCACTCATCGCTGACCTTAGGAGATGAAATGGATGAGGAAGAAAGAATTGTAAGAAGATGGGGCCGTGGCCTGGCTGAAGCCTGTCCCAGAGGCGGAAGTGGGTCAGTGACTCTGTGAAATGAAGCTGTCTCTAAGCGAGAAGGCCAAGAAGTGGGCCAGAGGCGGCAGCTCCTGCAGCTTCGGATGCTGCATGCTGGAGAGGCTGAGGCCAGTGTCGGGCCCAGCATGAAGTTGGTAGGGTTGGAGAGAGAGACTAGTAAGGCAACAGGAGTGATTTCAGGGAGAACTTCCCTGCAGGCATCGCCTGTGAGGCTGGGAATGGGGGGACACTGATCCGTGGGGTGGTGGGGAGGAGACGGCGAAGGACACATCGGGACAGGCCTGGAATCGGGGGGGGGGGGGGGGGGGGTGGCTCGGAGGAGTGGAGTTCACAGCAGCTGTGCCTACAGCAGCTTCCAAACAGAACACCCAGTCCCTGCCCTGTCTCTCTCTGTGGGCGCCGAGCTGAGAGCAAAACAGGACCCACCATGGTGGGTCTGAGCCTCTTTCCTGATGGATACTAATGAAGGCTGGCAGGGGCACAGTCAGGGAAGCAAACCTGGGGGTGGTTCCTAGGAAGGGAGCTGCTGTGGAAATTGAGAAGAGCCTGCACCTCAGACGTGCAAAGTGCCAGACGCTTGATGGCACTTTAAATGCCTCAGATAAAACAGTGAGAGACTCTCTGGGTGGAAGGTGAGACAGGGGTCAGGGACCTCAGGGCCTCTGAGGCTCGACTCTGGGATAAAGAACAAAAACACCTTGGAGACCCCTGTGACCCAGCGCGCCAGGGGTGGGGGGAGTAGAGGGTGAGAACGACAATGTGGCCCACCTGGCCCAGAGCTCAGAGCTAAGAGGCACATGCACATGGCCCCAGTGTCAGAGAATTAAGGGTTCGAGGCCTCTGGGAGCCTCCACGGCACTGGGAGCTGGACAAACCCCTTCAGGTTCAAGGCTCAGAAGGAAATGCCGAGAGGCCCAGGTCTCAGGCCAGAATCTGTCCCTCGTCACACACAGGTGTCCCTGACCGAGGCTCACCAGCATGTGGGGAGGGCAAGATTCACCCCACCCTTCACTCTCCCTGGGGTGGGGGGTCGTCTGTGTGACAGACCCCTCTGCCCCTCTCCTGACCATCCCCTTTGTAATCAAATAAAGGGGCAGCTCTCGGCTGGAAGGTGAGTTCCTTGTGGACAGGCACTAGCGTTTACCATAGTGTCCCAGGGCCTGACCAGGGCCATGCACGTGGTGGGTGATTGAATCTGTGGGCTGCATGAATGTCCCACACTCAGCGGCACGAGGGACAGTGACAGGAAGCAGTGCCTGAGTGATATGTGTGCACAATCACTCTCCCTATCGCGCCCTCCTGTCTGTCTGCCTGCGTCTTTCCCTGCCTCTGACTCCCTGGCTACGTGACTGTACTGTCCGGCGGTGCTGCCTCTCTCCGAGTGACACTGTATATGTGTATCCTCTGGGGTTTTGCTCAGACTCCACCTTCCCTTGACCACCCAGTCCACACCTGCCCCTGCCCCTTGCAGCTCTTCCTCTGTGGGTTTGTCTCATTGGCCCCTCATCACTGAGAAAGTTTATGTGGTGATTATATCTTGCATCCCTCTCTTGCTGGAGCAGTAAGCGACCACCTGGACGTCTCAATCTCCGGTCAGCTGCCATTCAGAGAGCACCATTGTCTTGCCCGGTGGTCCCTGAGGCTGGGGGAGGGGGTTAATACGGAGCTGGTTGCTTCAGAGGCCTCCCACCTGTTTAGGTCCTGAGCACTTGCATTTCCTTCTTCCTTAGAGTCTGTCTCCTGGGAAATGGTACTTACAGAGATTGAAGAGTTTAATACATCTCTCGCTTCCTCTCTCTTTTCTGAGGCCCTGAGTGGGAGCAGCAAAAGCTGTCGCTGGCAGGAGCCCCCCGAGATGCCTGGGTGAATGAGGAGGGGTTGATGTGGTGCCTCAGCCAATTTGGAAAGCACTGTGACCCAAGCACATTTTGCATCAGCAATGTCAAATTCTGCTGTTCAGGCATGCCATTAGTGTGCACGCTGCCACACAGAAATCAGCGACACAAAAGGCACAGCCTTCCCCACCCTCCTGGTGCTTAGAAACTAACGGCTCTAATGAGAAATGAGAGCTGGAAGGGGAAAGATGGGGCAGGCCCCCTCGGGGCAGGCTGGTACCGGATCTCGGAGGAGGCTGACTCATCTCTTTTGGAGGTAAGGGGCCTTGTGGACCAGCCCACTGGAATGTCACTTGAATTAGCCCCTGCTCCCTGCACAGGGGTCCCCTCTGTCCTCACTCTCCCCCCCACCACCCCCACCCCCATGCTCTTGGAGGGAGTCTATAAACACAGCACTATAACTACTCACTTCTTTTTCTCCCTTGGGGCATCCTTGGTCCCTTCACCCAGTGACTTTTAGACTCATAAACTACCCGGAGTCCAGCAGCCTCCTTCAAAGAGACGGGTGAGAATAGCCTGCGTAAGAAAGCGTGGGTGGGCATGCATCGTGCCCAGCCTTCCATTTCTACGCTGGCTTTTTTATTGTGCTATGAGTTATTTAGCCAACAATGGATGTTTATGTATATTTTTTTAGAACTTGTATTTATTAACAGCCTGCAAAGGGGGAGACCGGGAGATTTATACCCAAAGAGCTGTGAGTTAAAAGGGACAATTTGAGGAGTAGAAAGAGATACTGAGAATAGCATTGTAAAGGCTATTTTAATGCACAAAGGTTCTTGAGATATTTTCCAAGTAGACAGAAGGTAAAAGAAAGTTGGCTTATTACGAGCTGAGAGTGGGGGATTGGTGACAGGGGATGGAGGAATGGCTGATGGGCTAAACTCCTACTTACAGGAAGCTGAGGCCAGAGAGCTAAGCTGGAAGGCGATGAACGAGAAGGCGACCACAGCTGGGTCAGGAGGCTTAGCAGCGGATGTTGACCGGGACCCCGTCAGAGTGTACACTCACTTCTGGTCAATCAAAGAATGTGCACAGAGAAAGGCTGGCATCCTCTAGGTCAGTGCTGAGCAGGGGCCTGAAGAGCTGGATCCCAGAGGTGGAGACAGCCTGGGGGTGGGGGTGGGGGTGGGGGTGGTGACAATACCAGGAAGGATTTGCTGGGAGCTCCCGAGGCCCTGAGGCTCCCAGCCAGCTCCAGGGAGCCCTCCCAGCAAACACATTCTCTTTGACACAAGGGCCTGCAGGTCGGCCTCCAAAAAACCCTTCCTGCTCCCCCCTCCACATTCCCTCAAATCTATCAACAGGCCTTCTGGAACCCCATTTGCCATGATGGCAGAGTGCTGGGTGATTAGTTAGGCGATGAGTAAACATTTGCTAAATGGAATTTTGGCTCCCTGGTAATGAACAACCCTAGTAGGAAAGAAAAGGGAGGAGATGCAATTTGGGGGGGGGGAGGTTCTGGGGATCACTGATCGTCAGCTAGAGTGGGCACGTGTCGTGGTGGCTGAGGGCGTGTCTGTGCAGCCATGCTTGGGAGCAAGGAAATGGGCTGAGGGCTGAGCCCTGCGTGGATCGGAAAGGAGGGAGCCTAGGAGACAAAATAGCTATGGGATACTTTCCGAGCTTGGAAGCAGCAGGTGTCTGGGATTGGGACTCTGGTCCAGGCAGATTTCCAGAGAGTGCTCCAGCTTGCTGGCACGAGGGAAGGATCTGGCTGCGCAGAAGAGGCAAGTTGTGATGATGAAACCCACTATTGAGGAACATTGGCAAGCATGATACTGGTGGGAACCATGTGCTTGGAGAGGTACTAAGGGTGCGGGGTAAGGAAAAGGACCCCGGAGAGGGGGGGGGCACACCTCCACTTCCAGGGTAGAGTCCAAGTCCTGGGCCCTCCCCTTGCCAGACTTGCCTCCCACGCCTCCCCAAACAGCATTCCCAGTCCTCAACTCACAGCTCTTTGCTGATACCCCAAATGCGGTGCTATTGCATGCTTCCAGCTTTCTGCCTGAAATACTCTTAACGCTCTTCTCTGGCCACCTCATCCTCTGAGAGCCATGTACTGTCATCTCCTCCTGGAAGCCCTCCCTGACTGACCCTACCCCAGGTGAGTTTCTCACTGCAGGGGGGGGTGGGGTGGGCACTAACATAGGCACCAATCCCACACTCGTGTCACCAATCCCATACTTGTTTCCACATCTAGGCTCTGAGCTCCTTGAGAGCCATGTCCTCTCATTTTTATGTTCTCAGAGCCTGGACCAATGGCTGGCATACACAGGCCCTTGGTGAATGAAAGATAGGGAGCCAGCCATGCTCTGGGATCATGGGAGGTGCTTGTGTGGAGAAACTCAGACCACCAGTGGCCACCCAGCCCCTCCTGCGAGCCACCTTCCAGAGTGGAGGGCTGTGTGGCCCGAGGGGACAGAGGCAGAAGAGATGGCTCCCTCCCTGGGCCTAGGGAAAGTGCTGATTGAAGATGGACGAAAAGCTGGCCCCATCAGGAACAAAGCAGTGGCCTCAGCCCCTGGGAGGAAGACAGGATTCCAGGGCCAGAAACCCACACCTCCCTGCCCTGAACTACCCAGGAGGTGACTAAAGGGGCCTCCCCTTAGCCCGACTTGTCAACTTCCTCTGATGTTTTGGGCAATGGCGTCATCGTAACTGGGTAGCGTGTGTGCAGCTGTGTGACGAGTGACGTCATCCACAATAGAACTGGTTTTTTTCTCCTTCTACCTCTTAGAGAAAGCTGCTAAAAATACACCTGGTATCCTGGACCCCTCTGCTTTGCCTCTAATAATCGTCAGGGACCAGAGGCTGCACTGCACTTGACAGAAGTAGATCATTTATAAAACATTAGCATTTCTCGTTCTGACATTTCCCTTCCATATTACAGGACTTACTAAGTGTTTTTAAAAAAATTTTATAAAGTGCTTGGACTCTTGATCTTCCCACTGAGGGCTTTACTGTCTAAAGTTGGAAATTAAATCAACAACCCGACAACATCCTCAGGTTCTAAGGGAGAGCCAGGCCGGGGTACTGGACTGGGTAAGAGCAGAAAGGCCATAAGAGATAAACTGCAAGCTAAAGACGATTTGTTCTGCCCTCCCCCAACTCCCATTAGTGTCATTTTAAGCCGTGTGCAGAGGTGGATTTGTCCATACCTGACAACACAGTCCTTCTCTTTCTCTCTGGGAACTTTCTCCTTTTTCTGACGCCGGTGCAGCCTCCGGATGCTGTCTACTGCTGTCTGTCTGGTTTGGTCCCCGGACTCCTGGAAACTCCTCTGGGCCTGACAGTTTCTTTCCAGCCACCCCCAAGCCCCCTAAGAATCAACAGCTCAGCTGCTGTTGGTGAGGCCTTTGGGAACAGACCAGGAAGGATCTAGCTAGCCTGCTCCAGGGAGAGCCACAGAGATGGTGCCGACCCAGCACAGCCTGTGTGGGGAGTGAGTCATGTTCTGTGCGGGCAAGGGAAGAACCACGGAATGGAGAACGTGCGTGCGTGCGTGCGTGCGTGCGTGCGTGTGTGTGTGTGTACACACGCATATGCACATGCAGCCCAGTGAGTCAGCGTGCCCCTGCCCCATAAGGCTCCTTCTGCCAACAAACATGCTGTGTTCTCAGAGCTGTGCCCTGCCAGGCTTGCCCACCCTACAAATCTTGGGATCTGCCACCCCTTCAGGAATGCGGGGTTAGGAAATGAGAAACAGGGTTCTTGTCCAAGAGAAAATTTTTATTATTATTTTTCTCTCTTAATTGGATTCAGTGTTTCTTGCTCCTCACATCCTCTCTGGTGGGGGAATTCAGGTTTGTGCAAAGCGCAAAGGAGATTGTACCTACCCAGGCCCCAGCCAATAGCATGGCCAACCTTGACCGGAGCCCCTGTGCCCTGTCTGGGCTTGCCTGCTCCATTCCCTGCACATCCCCACTCCCTACCCCTGAGTCTGGCCCCCTGACCTCTGCCCGTCCCTGGGCATCTTCAGAAGAGCCAGGAGGGATGGGGCCTCTGTAATGCAGAAGTGCCTGAGATGGTTCTTGAAATGCCCTCACTGTTCCCCTTCTGCTAAGGCCACCTGATGCTTTCCCTCCTGCCACCCTACACAGGGCCCTTGCTGGGGCGCCCATCAAAGAGCCTTAAGGAAAAATTCTGCAGCTGAGCCATAATGGAGGCCTGGGATCATGCCCAGAGTCTCCCTAGCCTGTCCAGACCGCCACTGGCAAATGCTAGGCTAACGACGTAGCCTAGCCGTTGAACTAACACTGTGAAGGCTGCCTCACCTAATGGCCTAAGAAACCCAAAGCTCCTCCCTTCCCCGTCTCAGTCCAGCATGTCCCCAGGACCTGGCTCCATGATGTCTAACAAGCTGCTTCTTGCTTCTCACCCCGACGCCAACAGCTACTATGGTGGGGGTGATGGTGTTCCAGGGCAGCGGATGGGCTTGTGTTGCATATAAAAACAAGGTGATGCTCTAAATATCTAAGAATATTGGTCCCCTGAAGTGATTCTTGCTGCCTCCCCTTCTCCCTGAACCTTCCCACTAACCAATTGCCTCAGGCCCCCGGCAAGCCCAGGTTACATGGGGATGATGGTTGCAGACAAAATCTGCAAACCTAGACAAAAATCCTCTAACTCTTTTCTTGCTAGAAATCACCAATACAATTCTTAGTTCAGCAGATATAGTTTTCTGTATAGTTTATAAACATGGTAAGACATACAGTTTGGTAAGGGAGTGGGGCGGGGGACCTGTGCCTTTGTGTGTGTGTGAATATATATATATATGTAGAGTGTGTATATATATATAAGTGGACATAGTTATAAAACTGCACCTCCGGGGAGAGCCTCATTGTACATGATGAAGTTCTGAATTTCAGCCTCTGATGATCTTTCCTTTGGTAATTGGTTCTTGGAGCCCAGGGTCTGGGCTGGGTCTGCCAGGGTCGCCTGAGACATCAGGAATGAGAGGCGTCACCCCTGAGGGAGGGACTGAAGGTGGCAAACGGTTGGATTCAGGGCAAGTTGACGAAATGGCCTCAGGCAAAGACCAAAAGGCCACCTGATGTGATCCCAGACGGCTGGTCGACCCAGCAGCCTCTTGGGCGAGGCTCGTCTGTTCCTCTGAGTCCTGCTTCCTCCAAGAATGGCGGGGGCCCTTCAGACCTCTCCAATTGACCAGGGTTCCCCAGAGCCAGGCTCCCGTGGGGCACTGTCCCATTGTTGTTAATAAAGCATTCGCTTTGCGTGCGTTAACCGCCTGGCTGGATGGCTGCTGTCCGTGGCTGCTCGGTGGGGGCTGGCTGGGCAGCTGGGTGAGGAGTGCTAATCCTCTCCCACTTAGGGCTGTACACTTTGGGTTTATAATCCACCAGGAAGGGCCCAGACAGCAGCCGAAGCCTTTACCAGCCTCTGCCTGAAACCCAGCAGATCCTCCACTGGTTAAAAAAAGAAAAGAAATTCTGTTCCTTGGTGGACATGTGGCAGTGCTGGGTGCTGGTGCCCTGGGTCCTCAGCGGAGAGTGACCGCCAGCCCCAGTATCCAGGCCAGGATCGAGGCCCCCAGAGAATTGCCTGAGGAGGCCTGCTGCACCCCGCTGGGGGCACGGATGGGGGTCCTGCGGGCACACTTGCCCTTCCTCTTGGGCCTTGCCGTGGGCATGATGTCAAAGCTGAACTTGTGCTGGTAGTCAGGGGCATAGTCCTGCAGCTCGGGGGCCTGCTTCCCGGCACCCGCCTTCCAGACCTGGTTGCGGTTCCTGTGGCTGGTGCAGTTCTTGCCTGGCTTCCTGTAGCCTATCCGGGAGCCAGGCGGATGGCCATGCGAGTGGCCCTTGTCCCTGGCGGGGCCACGGGGTGGGTGGTGTTCCTTGCGGGCAGCCCTGTCGGTGGTGGTGAGCGTGTGTGACTTGATCTGGTGCGGGGACGCTGGCCCCGTGCAGTTCCTGAAGTCCTCGGCGCTCAGCAGCTTCAGGTCCTGGCCCTGCCGCGGCTCGGGGGACACGCAGGGGACAGCAGAGCTGGAGCCTCGGAACCTCCGAAGCCATTCCCACAGGGAACGCGCCCGGCAGCCACAGTCCCAGGCGTTCCCGTTGAGGCGGAGGAACTCCAGGGCCACCAGCGGTGCCAGGCAGTCACCCTGCAGCTCGGAGAGACTGTTGTTGAAAAGGAAGAGGGTGGTGAGCCGGCGGAGGTCGTGGAAAGCCTTGTGGTGGACCCACTGCAGCTGGTTCTCGTGCAGCAGTAGCCGGTCCAGGTTCACCAGCCCCCGGAAGGTGTCCTGGCCCAGGCTCCACAGCTTGTTGCCATGGAGAAACAGGTGACTGAGGTTGACCAGGTCCGCAAAGATGTCGTCCTGCAGGTACTCGATGTGGTTGTCCTGCAGGTAGAGGTACTGCAGGCTGTGCAGGCCGCTGAAGATGCCCTCAGGCAGGGCGCTGAGCCCGCACTTATAGAGGTAGAGGGCGTGGAGCTTCACCAGGCCTTGGAAGGTCTCCGGCGCCAGTGTCCGCAGCTGCCGGTTGTCGCCGAGGTCCAGCTCCTCCAGGTGCACGAAGCCCTCGAAGGTGTTGGGGTCGATGAAAGTGATGTTGTTGGAGTAGATCCACAGGGTGACCATCGCGGGGCTGAAGTGACCCTGCTGGAGGAGGGTGATGCGGTTGTTCTGCAGGAAGATACGCTCGCTGTCCTCGGGGATGCCCTCCGGAATGGCGGCGAAGTTGTGCGCCTGGCAGCTGACCGTCATGGGTGCCGGATAGCACACGCAGTCCCGTGGGCAGCCGCCGCCCAGGGGCAGCTCCCCGGCCAGCAGCAGCAGAAGCAGTTCCACACAGCACCCTGGTGGGGAGAGAGCACAGCCAGGTCAGGGGCTTCCCAGGAGGCGGGAGATAGACAGGTGCAGGCACAGCACGTGACCCTCCTGGCCAGCTCTGTCCTGTCTGCTCCCCTCAGTTGACTGGGATGGTGGCCTCCCAAGGGCTTGGCTCCTGGTAGGAGGAAGGCAGGGGTCAGACCCAAGCCAGGCCCCCATCTAGCTCTCCACGCCCTGGCGCCCCACCTCTACTGGGAGTTCAATCCCCAGCCTGGGCAGTGAGGTAAGCTTGGAGTAAAGGCTCTGATTCCCCCAAATACGCCCTAGCCCTGCTCCCAAACACCCCAGCCCCACCCCCTCAGGCTCTGTCAGCCCTGCTAGGGTGGGGGTCACAAAGCAGCCAGCTCCAAGTCCTGTCCCAGCTCTGCCACTTAATCACAGTTATCTGTGTAAACAGATAGTGGTGCAGACACCTAACCAAGTCAATGTCTCATATGGGGTCCTGAGGAGTCTCTTTATTTAAATTATTCCCCTAAACAAGCGAAGCATGCATGCATGACAGCAAAGTTCATCTCAAGAGATGTCTCATTTACAGTGCCTCCCACATCCTCAAATATGTGACACCCCTCTGTGCCTCAGTTTCCTCATTTCTAAATAGTAATAATTGTCCCTCACTGAGCTGTGAGGATGCACTGAGAGGACACAGGTGTTCAAAGGACTGTGGGGAGGCTGATGGGCTCTGGGGCCCATGAAGCTGCCAGATGCCCCCATTCAGGTCCACCTCTGGCTTCTCCCCTCTCCCCACCTCCCTTGCTCAAGCTCCCAGGCTGTGGCTGCAAACCAGGCCTTGCCTCGTGATTGTCCGGAGCGTTTCCTCTGTAGCTTCCCTCTAATTGGGCATTAATTAGGCATTCGTTAATGGATCCTTAAAATAATTTATTTTCGGATGTGTCCAGCCTGTGGTCAGATAATAGCCCCATGCTCATTATCGGAGCAGCCTCATTATGGACGATAGTCATTACCTGCCTTTTTCCAGGGTCGCAGCTGCCCCTGGTGGCCCGGCAGGCGCGCCAGTGCTGGGGGAACAGGCTCCAGGCTCGTCACTGCCCGAGGTGGCCTTCTGCCCTTCCCTTCCAGCTTGGCCAGCCAGGTCTCTCAGGAGAGCTGGGGGACATAGGGCAGCTCAGCCGATTCTTCTTGCTGCCAGTTGTGCCCAGAGTATGCAGAATGAGAGAGCCAACCCCTCCCCCAGCCGCTCTCCGGCTAGCCCTGTTCCCAGCCTCACGCCGGCCACCTAGCCAGGCTCCCAGGTCTGCCGCTGCCCTAGCTGCCTGCCCAGGCTCAGGCAGACCTAGCCACAAATAG